TTTTAAAAAAAATATATTATCCCCAAAAATAGATCAAAAAATACAAATTCATATAATAAATAATTATATTATAAGATAATCATTCATATATATTTATTTTATTATATAAAATATTTACAAAGATACAGAAATATAAGACGCGTGTATATATTATTTACTGTTGAAAGATATATGCTTAGAAATTATATACAAAAAACTGAATGCTTATCTTTCATCAATTTTTAATTACAGTCTAAAATTGAATAATTATTTATTATATTTTCTCATAGTAATCATTCTAAATTATACATCTATAAGATTCAATATATTATGTTGGGATAATAAAACATTATATTGCATATTATGTGAATATTCGATATATATTAGGACTAAAATTGTAAAGGTATTTATCTGTATTAAATATAGTTCACATACGATATAAGCATATTATATATATACAGGATTTATATTATTATCGTACATACATATAATTTTACGTTCGGTAATTATATATATTATTTGCGTATAAAATTTATAATTAAAATATTTTTATATGCATAAAGTTACAAAATGCGGCAATTACAGTGATTTTTAATTGTTATGAAACACTAATTTTACTATATAATAAATTTATTTACTTATTTTTTAAGCGTACACTCAAAGTAATATTCTCTATACTATAATGTGTCCATTATTTTTTTTTATTGTAAATGATTTCAGTTAAAGTTATCCTTACAAAATATCGATAAATAGATCATATTAAGAGTAAATATATTATTTTTTAGAATTCATATTCTATATTATTACTAGTGTGTAATATTGATATACAAATTTTTTTTGGCACGTCGCTTACAATATAACGAATAAATTTTTAATTTCTCCAAAATATAATATAGCATGAATAGTTAATTTATTAGAATTTTCCTTAATCATAAATATAATAAAAAATAGATAGCATGAAAAATGATATTACATTAGGTTTTTCTTAATATTTATCTCAATATGTTTATGTGGAAACTGTAATTTACATAGCATTAAATATGATAAAAAAATAATAATTATGTATTAAACTAAATCTGTAATGTTTTAATATTTATTTTAATTAAGAATAACATAGTTTTCCTATCATTCATCATTTCAATGCATAAAATATATATGATTTTTTGTGGTAATCTATAGGTGCTATATCCATCTTTCGCTTGGTGTTATATAAATATTAGTTTTTTTAAAATTATAATGTATAAGAAAATTATATTTTTCTTATTGTAACTAGAAATAATTTTATGAATTTATTATAATTACAAACATCACAAGGATACAAATTAATTTATTACCATATCAAATATTTTATGATTAAGAGGTAAGATAGTTTATAGAAGCTATTTTTTCTGATTCATAATAAATAAAACAGAAAAGATAATACATATAGAAAAGGAATTATCTAAGATATTATTATATTTCAATAGTATATACAATCAAGAAATATGTGCTAATGATTAACATATATATATAACTCAATAATATTATGTATGGAGTAAATAAGATTTCATTCTTTGTCGTAAAAAACAAAATCATTGGTTACAATATATTTTCACATTTATGGATAAATTACTATTTTATTTAAAACTATAAGCCTTATAAGGATGATATATTTTTTATGAAATATAATTTAACGTTTCTTTTGCTATTATACCTGTTATTAATTCCGTGTGAAATGTTAAGAAATATACATTAAACTCCTTATTAAAATTATAATTATTTTCTCTTTTGATACATTTTTTATATATATAGTAATTTTGTAAGATGAAAAAATAAAATATACACAATTTAATATATATGTCTTATTAAGCTAAAATAAAAAACAAATAAATTTTGCATTATATCACAATTAAGAATTATAATATAAATTAAATTTATAGCTTACATACACAAAAAGCATGGAAATATACAATATATTTAAAGAAATCCTTGAAAGTGGATTCATATATAAAAAAATATATATAAGCATAATGGATATTATCAAAAAATTTTTATATGTATGATCTTATATTGATATAACAATATCCCCTTAATGTTAGGATAGAGGTTTTTAAATGCTTCAGATTTCTGGGATTAGAGTTCTGTATTCAGAGTTTAAAATATATGGAACTTTTTACACAATAACACATTATTATGTTATGCTGGAACCTAGAACATACATTGTATATCATTTTAGAAATATTTAAAAGGATTAATAATATATATATGAATTGATAAAATATTTTTACTATTTCATTTTATTATATCTAATTTAAAATAATTTATTTTACAATATTTTGTACATTTTATCTAAATATAATGGATTACATTATTTGTTAAATTTTAGAGCAATTATATCGAATAATGAATGCTTTATAGTATTTTACAGAACAATACATTTAAAATGTTATAATATAATTTACATTATTTTGAATTATGTTATTATTTTTGAATAAATCATACACGGCTTTCAACTTTATAAATTGTATATATAATAAATTTCATAGGTATATTTTATTCTTATATAAAATTTTTGTTTATTCTTTTTGTTCAAAACTATATTGGGAATATATTATATTTTAATTCTATATATTTGTTTCTGATTAAAAATATGAAAATTATTCTTTTAAAATTTATTAATATCAACAGTAACCACATCATTTATGAAATATATACATATAGTGTAAAATTATCTATTTATAATATATTAAATGTTGTGAATATGGTTCAGATGACTTAAATATTTGATGCACGTAGAACGTCTATTTTATAATTTATTATTATTTATGTATTAATATATTGTATTTTTTATTTCCTTTAATTCCGCAAGGAACAATCAAATATTTACAAATTATTATATATTTATATAAAGTATAAGCATTAATAAGAGCAAAAAAGTATAAAGAAATGGAAATAAAAAAAGCACATACAACAAAACAAATAAAAGTGAATAAATAAACTATATATCTTATATTAATCACTTGTATATGCTAACAAAATATTTAAGCTAATTAATTCTATATATTAGTAGAAGAAATATGGGGTTATTTAATAATAATAATTATAACAAAATTTATATATTTTTCTTAAAAAT